TGTAAGCTTCCCTGAGACTCCGAGTGAAGGGCGGGGGATAAAATCCAGCTCTTCTTCTTCTTCATTCCTACTGGTCTGATGAAGGGAACTTTGATTCTCAAAAGCTTATGCTATGAAGCTCTTTTTGGTCTCTAAGGTGCCACGGGACTCAAATCTGACTGTTATTAGGTTAGTCAGTGTAGGAAAGCAGTGCAGAAGAATCCACTATTCTCCTGACTGGAAATTGGGAACCTAAAGGTATTTGTGTGCTAACAGCATGAGAAGTCTGGTGATTGCCTACGCAGTCAATTCGGCCTTGGCAGAGATAACAGAGAACTTGCCTGCACACACACATTCCTTAAGGATGCTAGAATGCTTGTAAATTTCCTTTACGCAGAGAGAAGGAGGGAGAGAGGAGGGGGAGGGAAATGGGGGGAAACTGAGCTTATAAATAAACGCTGGGAAGCCAAGAGGTTTCAATCAGTTCCTGCAGCCATTTGTGTCCTGTCGTCTTTGCATCGTTTGAACCCTGCACCCCCACGCAACAAGTCAGTTTATACACTACTTACTAATACAACTTGGAATAATATACAATAAATAATGCAAGGTCTGAAAAACAATACAATCATTTTTTTAAAAAAACCACTGTCAAGCCCAGAGTTTAAAACACCTCTAGGCACGAGTAACCTCAGCTGCCCCACGATAAGGCAGCCAGCCTACTGTTGGGACTGGATACAGGAATCATATTACCCTCTGCTGAAAGGTGGCTGCCCTCTGTCTCCTGGGACAATTCAAAGTGCTGGTCCTTACCTCCAAGACCCTAGATGGCTCAGGGCCGGGGTACCTAAAGGACGCTCTCCTCCCGCACAATCCAGCCCACCAGCTAAGATCCGCCTCCCAAGCCCTGCTCTTTGTGCTGCCGCCTTCAGAGGTGAGGCAGGTGCCGACTAGAGACAGGGCATTTTCTGTGGTGGCCCCTTGCCTTTGGAATGCCCTCGCTCATGTTGTGCACCTGCCAATCACCCTACTCTCTTTAAAGTGCCAGTCTAAAACATTTCTTTTTACCACAGCTTTTAACTAAGGAGTCTGCTGTTTTAGGTTGTCTGGGCAATCTGTTTCTAGCCTGATGACTGCCATGAGGGATGTTGTTGTTGTTTTAGATTGGTAGTATGTTTTATGTTCTGGGTTTTTTATTGGCTGTGTGGAGAAATGCAGGCCACTTTGAGCCACATCAAACTATTGAGAGTTTCCGGTGGGGGGTTTAAAAAAAAAAACACCCCACATTCATTGCAAAAGGTTTCTCCCTTGGTAGAAGGTCAGAAAACAGGTTGCGATTAATTTCCCCCAAGCACACCCTTCCCATTGATGGCTCTCACAGTCGCCCAGTACTTAAGGCTGGGTTACATAAAGACTTCTAGCTAACAGAGAGCAATCAAAGGGCCATCTCACTCCCTGGCAGGAATGTGCCCCCTGAGACCTGGGGATGCCAAATACTAGATGGTATCTTTTCCTGGGAAGGACAGGAAGAGAATTAGATAAGAGAATTAAAGGGAATTAGATGAGGATATGGAGCAGAGGTCCATCAGTGGCTATTAGCCACAAGGTATAGATAGGGACTCTGGGGCAAGTGATGCTCTGTCTTCTTGGGGGGGTCAACAGTGGGAGGGCTTCTAATATCCTGGCCCCACTGGTGGACCTCCTGATGACACCTGGTATTTTTGGCCACTGTGTGACAGAGTGTTGGACTGGATGGGCCTTTGGCCTGATCCAACATTGGCGTCTCTTATGTCCTTATGTTCTTAAGAGAAGGGCGGAAGGCAGGCAGCCCAGGCAAAGACTCAAGATAACGGATGACTGACATAAATCTGTAACTTTAAGTATCAAGAGGCTACTGTAGAATAACCACAGACAAGGTGTGTTAAGAGAAGGGACAGAAGAATGCATATGCATGGATCTTTACTTTGTAGCCCTGCTTGATCCGTTGCTTTGCAGAGTATGTGTGTGGATGTTTTCATTTTAATAAAATTCATTATATAGAATGCTGGAAGTTCGTAACCACAACAAGCCCCACTCAAACACATTACTAAAAGGGAGCCCGGGAAAGGAAGTCAGTTGGTCAGTAGGTGGCTACATCCCTGGGAGCACACAACCCTAATTCTGCATCTAATGGGAAGGAATGCCAAAAGGCCAACTGGTGATTATTCATAAACATGGAGAGGATGGGGTGATACGGACCTTTGCAGGAAGAAAGAGGCCACTAGTACCACTTGAGCCACCGCAGCTCCATCTGCCTTGGTAGAAGGTCCGAAAACAGGTTGTGATTAATTTCCCCCAAGCACACCCTTCCCATTGATGTCTCTCACAATCGCCCAGTACTTAAGGCTCGGTTACAAAAGACTTCTAGCTAACAGAGAGCAATCAAAGGGCCATCTCACTCCCTGGCAGGAATGTGCCCCCTGAGACTTGGGGATGCCAAATACTAGATGTTATCTTTTCCTGAGAAGGACAGGAAGATAATTAGATAAGGGAGTTAAAGGGAATTAGATAAGCATACGGAGCAGAGGTCCATCAGTGGCTATTAGCCACAAGGTATAGATAGGGACTCTGGGGCAAGTGATGCTCTGTCTTCTTGGTGCTTGGAGGGGGGGGCTTCTAATGTCCTTGCCCCACTGGTGGACCTCCTGATGGCACTGGTATTTTTGGCCACTGTGTGACACAGAGTGTTGGACTGGATGGGCCTTTGGCCTGATCCAACATTGGCGTCTCTTTTGTTCTTATGTTCTTAAGAGAAGGGGGGAAGGCAGGCAGCCCAGGCAAAGACTCAAGATAATAGATGACTGACATAAATCAGGGCCTGCAAGACCGGAGCTCTTCCGCCAGGCTTACGAGTAGGAGCCGCCACGGCCACTTACACCACCACTCCTTTATAGAGAGAGACCGCCAGGGGGTTGGGCAACATCTTTCCAGTACCCTAGCCTTCCCCTCTGCTACACAAGATGTTAGGAGTTTATACGTGCATCCGTAGAAATTTATTTTAATCTGTTTTAATTTTTGTATACTGTATGCACCTAGTGCCCTATGTGAGCCGCCCTGAGCCCGTTTGCGGGGAGGGCGAGGTATAAATGCAATAAAATAAATAAATAATACTGTAGAATAACCACAGACAAGGTGTGTTAAGAGAAGGGACAGAAGAATGCATATGCATGGATCTTTACTTTGTAGCCCTGCTTGATCCGTTGCTTTGCAGAGTATGTGTGTGGATGTTTTCATTTTAATAAAATTCATTATATAGAATGCTGGAAGTTCGTAACCACAACAAGCCCCACTCAAACACATTACTAAAAGGGAGCCCGGGAAAGGAAGTCAGTTGGTCAGTAGGTGGCTACATCCCTGGGAGCACACAACCCTAATTCTGCATCTAATGGGAAGGAATGCCAAAAGGCCAACTGGTGATTATTCATAAACATGGAGGGGATGGGGTGATACGGACCTTTGCAGGAAGAAAGAGGCCACTAGGGAGGTGACTTACAAGCTCTTCCATCAAAAGCATCGTTATTAAATTGGAATTTGATTTTCTCTATACAACAACCACACTCAAAGCTTTAGTTCCTCTGTGCTTAGCAGTACTGAAGAAGTTGATTGTGACCTCTGAATAACCAAGAAACACGCTCACTCCTAGGACCACCTGTCCTGATTCTTCCCGGAGCCCAATAATTTTGTAAACAACTCACAGTTTGCAGCATTGTTCACCCAAGGTTCTTTTAACTGTATGTGTTTTGAGGTTTGCTTACTTTACTCTTTTTGGCCATTTAATTGCTTGTTTATAGGAAAACTTAACTTTACACAATTCATTGTTAGGTTTTGTGGTTGTGATTCAGAGGAGATTGAAACAATCGAACACGTATTCCTCCACTGTAGTTTGTATGATGACATTCGGGCAGTCTATCTAGAAGCCATACTTAAGAAAGATGTCAAGCAATCAGATGACAGAATGTTGTACCGTTTATTGGCTTCACAAAATACAGTGGTTACTGAAGCGGTGGCTAATTTCTGTAACTGCCTTATAATGAGGAAGCTGTGTGTTCAATCCATGAACTGAAGGGTGACTGTTTATGATTCTGATCCATGCCAATAAAGGTTTTGAATTGAAGTGCAGGAGACAAAGAAGGATGGGTGGCAAAGGAGCCTGGGGAAAGAGAGGAGAGGAGACAGAGAAGGATGGGTGGCAAGGAGCCTGGGGAAGGGGAGGAGAGGAGCAACCAAAGAAGAGGGTACATGTGGGGGGGCTGGGACAAGGCCAGATCCTGCTGTGGGAGGGGGCACTCCGGGACCACATTGATGACGGTCTTTGAACCGTGTGCTGCCTGCAACCTGAAAAGGCCCAGAATCAAGGAGGCAGGGCTGGAGTTGAGCCCCGCCTGACTGCAAAGAAAACCACAAGAAGGGCATACAATGACAGCTGGAACAGAAGAAGAGGAAGACGTTCGCCTTTATTGGCATAAATTGTCGATATAGAACATACAATTTAAGAGCAAAATAAAAACATGACAGAAGGAGGAGAAGGAGAAGGAGGAGGAGATTAGATTTATACCCCACTCTTCACTACCCGAAGGAGTCTCAGAGCGGCTTACAATCTCCTTTCCCTTCCCCTCCCCTCAACAGACAACCCTGTGAGGTAGGTGGGGCTGAGAGAGGTCTCTCGAGAACTGCCCTTGAGAGAACAGCTCTGAAAGAATTTATGACTGACCTAAGGCTACATCAGCAGCTGCATGTGGAGGAGTGGGGAATCAAACCCCATTCTCCCAGATGAGAGCGCAGACTCTGAACCACTACACCAAGCTGGCTCGAAGCGGATGCAGAATCCATCAGGAGCCCTAGTGCAAGGTCTGAAGAGACACACGAAACTGAATAGGCCTGCAAGTAAGATCAAGGAGGACACCAAACGTGTAGGAAAGCGCTTCTGAATTTTCAGAAGAGGGGCATCAAGCTAAAGGAAGGACCCAAGAGAAGGAGGTTATCGCAGGCTGAGAGAATTGTGAATCAGAATATGGGTAAACAGTTTTTTGCTGTTAAGCAGGGAGTGGAAAGAGCAGACCTTGGAGATGCTGAAGAAGCACCCCCCCCCAAGAGCACCTTTGTTACCCCAGTTCTAACCTACCTGAATGTCACTGTCAATGCGGACGTCACAGACCTGGAAGCAAGCCTCCCCAGCACACTCAGAATCCTGAATTTCCTTCTGAATCAACTGTCCCTTTTCCGCTGCAAGGGGACAGAAGGGAGCAGGTGCAAGCAGAAAAGGGTGTCAGTTTTGGATTGCTCTCGCAAACTTCATCCGCAGCTGTGGCCAAGCTCAAAGTACAGAGAAGTGCATCAGCTAATTGTATGGAATTCTCTCCCCTCCCTCTGTTGTTTTCCCCATGGCCTAATTTATACTATTTTGCAAGCTCTTTGGAGGCAGGGACCTGGGTTTTGTGGTTGCCTATACAACTTTATACAACATATGCTGTACTAAAAGAACCTATAGAACAGTGGCATTATGAGAAAGACAAAGGAAGGGCACACCTCTTCTGAATTACTCCCATGGCATTCGATCTGCTTCCACAGAACTGCGGAAGATAAACCCCCACGTGAACACATAAAACTGTTTTCTATTAAGCCAGACAACTGGTCCACCTGTATCAGTATTGCCTGCTCTGACTACCTGCAGCTCTCCAGGATCCAAGTCAGTTGTGTGTGAACACATAAAACTGTTTTCTATTAAGCCAGGCAACTGGTCCACCTATGTCAGTATTGCCTGCTCTAACTACCTGCAGCTCTCAGGATCCAAGTCAGCTGTGTGTAATGTTATATTTTGTTGTATAGACATACATATTTATACCCGTGCACACATCTCATATTCAAGTCTACATTCATCAGATGATGAAAGCACTTGTTAAAACAGATCAAACATCACCACAAATCCATTCAGCACTTGAATACTTAACTGTTCAGTCCTGAACACTTGTTGATTGTTTTCTGCACTAAACTACTTAAGTCTTTTAAACCATGCAACCGAAACTTGCTTTAGCTCTTTGCACTTCAGTGTGTTTTTGACAGTTTGGTTCATTGGGACTAGCCTTTGCAGGGTGTTAAGAGAAAGGTCACTCAAAAACACCTGCTACAAGAAATAATGTACTGCCTTTGCAAAAAGCCAAACCCATATAACCATCTCCGGTTAAGCTTCCTCAAAACTATTTGCATGATTACAACTTCCACAACTAAATGACAAGCAGCCACTGAATATTCCAGGCTATTACGTCAAACCGTTAATGGGCCCATGGCATACTTGTAATTCGGATGCCCTTTTAACTCATGCATAATTTAGGGCATGCAGTATAACTGCAGGGTCAGAATGTTACAGTACGAAAAATGATGGCCAATCAAAGCTCTATAAGATCTGGGAGCAGATAAAGCATCTTTAATTAACGAAAGTGAGCCAATAAGAGGTTGGGTGCATACGGTACAGCACATAACAAATGTGATGACTCAGGACTTGGGGAAAGAAAGACAGGATGTCCAGGGTTTGGGACAAAAACTCTTAAGCCCTTTTTGAATACACATGCCCACTTCCCACCCTTCAGTGGATGCTTTTACTACTCATGGAAATGGTTGTGCTCAAAGAGAGCCAGTTTGGTGTAGTGGTTAAGTGCACGGACTCTAATCTGGGAGAACCGGGTTTGATTCCCCACTCCTCCACTTGCAGCTGCTGGATGACCTTGGGCAAGTCATAGTTCTGTCAGAGCTGTTCTCTCAAGGGTAGTTCTCAAAACAGCTCTCACCCCACCTACCTCACAGGGTGTCTATTGTGGGGAAAGGAGTTTGTAAGCCATTCTGAGACTCCAAGTGAAGGGCGGGGTATAAATCCAATCTCTTCTTCTTCTCTTCAAAGGCAAGGAAATTTGCTGCCAACGAGTTCTGTTCACTGCTGTATGGACAGCCTACGCTATTATTATTTTGGTGCATTTTGCTCCCTCCGAGAAACTCAGGGAGCCACACGCGATTCTCTCCACCTCCATTTTATCCTCACAACAACCCTGTGAAGAGGGTCAGGCTGAGAGAGAATCGCCAGCCCAAGGGCATGCTGAAAGTTTCATGACAAGCAGGGATTGCAACCTGGGCCTCGCCTAATTACACGACACCACATTGCCAAGGAAGACAAAAGGGGTTTGATAACTAGTCAGTGTGGTGAACAAACAGCCCGGGCTTTGAATGGATACCGCCCCGACTTCGCTGCAGCCATACATCTCATCCCGGGGGGGGGGGGGGGTTCTCTAGTCTTACCTTCAGACCCTGGTGCACAGAAGACCACCCTGGCTCCTTGGCGAGCTGAGAAGAGGGAGGAAATGGGGTGGGGGGGGAGAAAGAAAGACAAAAAAATTACATGTGGACTGACATCACTCGATTCTCTGTTTAAAAAGTATATCCCATCTTTCCACCATCTATACAACAGCTTACCGATGCATTTTCAACAACATGGCATTCATCTCTTTGCACAGGAAGGGCTCCACAGGAAGCTCTCGCACTCTAGAACGTACCAAGAGTCGCCCTCTCCCTACGCCCCATGACTGTACCAAAGAGCCACACCAGAGGGCCAAGGTGTGGGGAGCGCATGCCCTAACTGGAAGTAAACCATCAAACACACACCCAATTCTGGGAGTGAAGCACACAGCAATGTCTGGATTGGGGGTCAGAGTTGCTGAATGGCTTGTTGATTTCTGTACACGCAATGCCTGGCGGTCCAAGTGATGAAAGGACTGTTCGAAAACCATTGCCTTCCAAGCCATGGGATGTGGCCCATTCAATCATGCCAGCAATGGCTTGCTACTCCAACCACAGAGGGATGACTGTACGTCTGGGAGACAGCCCAGTACTTGGAAGACTTTCGCAAGCAGACAGCTCCCAGGCTCCACCACAAAAGTCTGTTTCCCACCCCCTCTGGCCATCACAGATTACTCCAGCCCAGACCAGTTCAATGGAGGGGGGAGAATCATCAAGTCTGCATTTGCATCTGATGGGAACACCATCTACTTAAATGCCAAGAGGGAGATGGCCAGGAGTTGTTTATGATTTTGTGGTTTCCCCTGGGGAAGATTCTTTGGTCCAAAAGCATTTCGAAAGATAGAAATCATCTTTTGAAGCATCCTGAACTCGTTTGGTTCCCCCCCCCCCTTTTCTTTCTTTCTTTTTTCAGCTTTTAGGCATTTCCACTATTTTTTATGTTTTTATCAGACTGCAACTGAAGCTCCCCGTCATTTCTGCAATAAAATTTTGAGATTTCAGAGCAAGGCAATGTTAAAAACATCAGTCCTAGATAAGGCATGTGGCATATCCCAGCCACTGCCCTCCTTAAAAGGATGCTGGAGTAACAATCCGTAGTGTACTTTGCTGGCACCTGCTTCACACTCCACATACGGGCTACGCATATCCCTCCCCACATGATGAGAGGAACTTTTAATGGGGATGCGGAAGGCAGCATGTGGGACAGTTTCTCTTAGCCCTCCGTGACCCCCACACAAAAGGAACTCTGCTGGATCAGAGGCACGATCCATCCCGTCCAGCGTCCTCCTCCCCACACTGACCAATCAAGTCTCCTCAAGAAGTGCAGAATCTGGATATGAAGGCACCAGCAACGGGAACTGCTGACACCGAGTTTCAGTCTTATAAGCCCACTGGACTTCAATGGATTTAGAAAGGTGTTTAGAATCACACTGCTGATCTACCCTTCTTCTGCCCCTCCACCCCTCCTGGGGGAAAGTTCCTTCTTCTACAGGTGAAAGATTGAGATTGAGCTGCCAGGGTCCAGCCTTCTTTCAGATCTGCACACCTGGTCCAAGCCTCTAGCTCAGGTCGCCATTTGGCCCTCTTGACGGAGGCTCTGCACCATCCTGGGCAAATAGTCAGCCCCCAAAGTTTCCCCCTTCATTGCACCTTGTCAGGAAATAAGAAAAAAAAAAAGAGGCAAACTTATTCTTTAAATAAGTTCACCCAGAGAGAAGTAGAAACCACGCGGCTTCCATGCCGCAACGGCTGTTTAAGACGAGATTTCTGCATCTGAGCAGCACCTTCCCGCACCCTTCATCTCCACGCGCATCTGGATTCGGGAGCCAGCGCTCCAAAACGCCAGCACCTTTTTGCAAAACAAACAACAAAACCCCAACCCCTGCCCCCTCTTCCTTCTGCCCCAGTTGCTTCCCTTCTCACCAAATTCTTTCACCATGGCCAGGCCGATGCCACTCGTGCCCCCGGTCACAATGACCACCTTGCCCGGGTACCGCAGTCCGGTTGCCATGCCTGCAGCTGCTCTTCGACTCCGCTCTCCCTGCCGAATGAAATCCAGCCGCTTTGCGGAGTTCAAATTATTCCATTGCTTTCCCCCAGGGAGCATGCGCCACGTGTCGGGGAATGCTGGGAAATGTAGTCCTGGCTCTCTTTAAAAAAAACGAAGTCGACAATTTGGCAACCGTATGACATTCGCTTCTTGGATTTAAACCACTTCACCACCTTCTGGGAAGCGGTGTGGGGGAATGGCTAGACTGCAGAACCGGAGAGATCTGGATCTGAATCCCTTCAGAGGAGGGAGGATAGAATGGGGAGGGGGTCGAGCCATATACCCTTGGTGGGCGGGTGGGGTGAAAATGGGAAAGATCGGAGGGCACTTCTGAAGAAAGCTGCACATATAGTTAAAACACAAGAAAGAGATATCAGAGGCAATTTTTTGCGGACAGTAGAGATTTCCGCCACCAGCTGCTCCTGATTATGAGGCTTGGAACGAACGAGATAGACTGAGCAGATTTGCAGCTGCCTGATAGAGCTTGGGAGAGAGATGTTCTCCTAGATTTATGTTTGCCACAAGGGGTGAGATCTTTTCATAATTATTTACTTTATTTATTTCGGCTTGCATGACCAAAAGTCTTAAGCACACTTATACACATTTCTAAAAGTACCATTCATAGAAAAACATCAGAACTTATTTAAAACAATACTAGATCATAAACAGTAGGGTGCATTGTCCAAATATGAGTGTATTACAGTAGGTGGAATAATCAGGCAAGATAAATCCTCAAGCGGGTGAACACAGCATAACATCAGGAAGGTTTAAACTTTCCCCTCTTTTTCCCTTTTTTTGTTTGCCACCAGGGGCCAGAAACATGGCTACTGCTTTGGTAACTGAATTATCAACTTTGTCAGATAAGAAAACAGAAATTGACCAGGGAAGGGAGGGAAACTTTTCTTTTATCAAGATAGGTATAATATACTTCTGCCTCTCCATATTCCAGTTGGGGCAGGCTAACAATATATGATCCATCGTCTCCACCCTACCTTGATTACAGTCGCATGTCCGTTCAGAGAACGGAATGCCATGAAAGCGGCCAAAGACTATGTTCGACGGGAACGTGTTCAGTCTAGCCAATGTGAAGGCTCTACGAAGTGCTGGACTTTTGAGAGTGTAACAGTAAGTGGGGATCACAACCGGCGGTGGAAGGCCGAGAGATAGACCCAAGCAGGTGCGTCTAGCTCTGCAAAGTGTACTGCTGAAGTCCAGTTCCCTTAATTTTGTTTTTATGAGTTTTATGAGTTTAAAGACCTCCTTTTGCTGTAAGGAGGTAATACCAATATTCGAGGATTCTAATTTGGATTCAATTAGCTTAGTTCTATTGCTTGTATAGGCATCTCTCTGAATCAGGTGAGTGAAGCCTGGTCCACTAGGGGAAGCCCCTCGACTTTCTTTATTGATAAACAGTTTGAATGCTAACAGCCATGCTCTTCTCTCAATTGATGGCTGTGCAAATTCTACCCTAAGGGCTGTGCCTGCCACGCATCTCGGCACTGCCGCGATGTCTCTAAGGAACATGTGGAGAGGGGAGTCTAATATAAGAAGGAATGAGACTCTATTGATGTATTAATATTTTTGTTTATTTCAGTTCTGATGGAACCTCAGAAAATACGCTGCTATTTGCTATTTTAAGGTCCTGTCCATACGAGGCCTTTTGAGCCGGGAGCGGGACGGAACGGGGGCGGAGCAAACGGGCGCGATCCCACCGCAACATCTGGGAAGCGTACCATCTCCGTCCCTGGTCCGGCCCTTCCAGCGCTGCTCCGCACCAAAAAAGAACCACCTACCGAGGTGGTTCTTTTCGAAGGGCCGCAGCAACGCTGACCGTGGGATCCTTGCGCCGGCGCATCCCCGACTCCTGGCCGAACTGCGCATGTGTGAGCATGCGCAGTTCGCCAGGCTCCCCTCCCCACCATCGCTTACTCCCCGGCATCTGATCGTGCTGGGGAGCAATGGCGCCGCGGCTCGGGGGATCCGTCTCAACTTTGCTACGGCTCACATTAGCCGCAGTTCGAGCGTCCTTTTCCCTGCCGTGTGGCAGGGACCCAAGAGTCTTATACTCACAAAGAGAATTTATTGCGCCTTATGCCCTGTATGTATATCACTGTCCTTGGAAAAAAATTGTATTCCATACAGGTAAATTACTGGAGTTCTGTGGGACTAGTGTTTGTGAAACTGAAACTGACTAGGTGCTGTTTGGATATTTGAACATAGTGTAAACCTGCACTTTGATGTATTGTTTTGGTGAAACCTCTGTTTGATAACCACAGACCTTTGATAACCTTTGATAACCTTTGATAACAGAGGTTTATTTATATAATAGCACAGAAAAAAAATAAAAATAAAAAGCACAAAATAGATCTACCCTAAGCATACATGTGTTATACACAGGCCCCGGTCACACGGGCCGGATATCACGGGGGGGAGGCGTGGCTGTTTGCCCCGGAGTGAACTACCGCGCGGCAGCCAGATCAAACGTCCCACCTGACGTCCCGCCGACATCCCGTGGTTGGGGGGAGGTGCCGATTATACCTCACTCTTGCGGCGCGGCAAAGAAGCGGCGCCGCAGGGGTTGTGTTGGGTTTTTTAATCCAAGTGTTCGCACCCGTGGAGACTTGACAAAAAAACACTTTTCATGATGGGACATGGGCGGGCGCCGGATGCCACGAGATAACACCAGAAACATGATCAGACGCCCGCCCTTGCCCCGCGGTTTCCGGAAACTAGTACCTCTGAGATACTAGTTTTTTACAGCGCATCTTTGGAGTGAAACCTCGGGTGAGCCACGGGAGCTCTACGCTTCCCAGATCTGGAGGTGAGATCGCGCCCGGAAAATCCGCCTATCTTCCGTCTCTCTAGCATGCCTAATGCTCTGTGTGACCGGGGCCAATGTGTCATATATTTTTCCATATCTTCCTGACACTGTGACCCTCAGTTTTTGTTTTACCCACCTGGAGGCTGGCGATCCCAGCAATAAATATCTGCTTTATGGACATCATCTACAGAAGCCAGGAAAATGAAGTAAATCCAGTGAGGAATAATTAAAACAGCAACAGCATATTGAGCCAGTTTGTCAGAGGCTAGGCCACCCTTTAAATCATTCCATTGATCAGTCCTAAAAGAGGTTGTGGCTTTGTTGCTTCATCATCAGGCATCCGTGCCTGGTTTCCTAACTTAACAATCAATAATAGTAATGGTTAAGGAACTAAGTGTGTGGTATTATTTTGTGGTCTGGCCAGGTTTTGGGGCATCTTATTTGTTTTGCCCGACATTCTATGAAGGACTGGGTGAACGGGCCTTTCTTGCCCAATTAAAAAAGCCACCGCCCTGGTGCTTGATTGCAGTTGCAGGAGGCAGATCTGGGTCATGTTCTGTAAGAAGACAAGAGCAGCCATGTTGGATCATACCAGTGGTCCATCTAGTCCAGCATCTTGTCTCATACAGTGGCCAATTAGATGCCTTCAGATGGCCTAATGTAGCACAGAAGCCCAGGCCTCCCACTGCTGCTGCCCCCAGCACTTGTATTCACAGGGTTATCATCTCTGAACATTACAGTTGCCAGTCCCCAGGTTCTGGCGGGGGTTCCCTGGGTTTTCAGGGTTTCTGCCTGCCACCAGCCAGCTGGCCAAAAGGGGAAACCACGCCCACAAATAGCCATATCCCCAGGTGATGTCCCTGACACAATGACGTTCCCTGGAAGTGATGTCATTGCATTGACAACGTCACGGGGGACACTCTGGTTTGAAGGCAAAACTCTATGGTAAATTTGCCCTCAAACCATAGAGTTCTGCCCTCAAAGCAGAGCGTCGCCGATGCAATGATGTCACTTCCAGGTGACATCATCGCATCAGGGACATCACACAATATCCCCACCCCCTCTAGGAACATCGCCAAAATCCCTTCACTGCCAACAAGGTAGGACCTGGCAACCCTACACAGGGAGATTCCATTTAGGGCTGATTCACATGTTTAAAAGTCCACACCCACGCCCCCCACACTGACATTATACAGACATGTTCTGCGAAGTTCCTGGCTTGGAACTTAATTCCCAGGTGTCGTGAGAAAATGTGTGGCTACACGTGTCTGTGAATGCATTCCCCCCGTGCCACCCACACTCTCCTTTCGTTCGTGTGTCCCCTGAGTGTTGCCTCCTTACCAAAGACAAAGGTGTAAGCTTGAAAACCACTAAGCGCTGGCAGAGACACTCTAACAAGAGTCTCTTCTTAAAATAAAACTTATCTTTATTAAGAGAAAAACATTCAAAGGTTTACCAACACAGTACACTCCTATTTCCTAAATGCTGATAGTGAATACACAGAAAATAAACATGCAAGCAAAGTTCTATCCCACCCAAAGCATGCAGAAAAACGAAAGACCTTCTGGGCTGACCCCCAAAGTCTCTGGAGAGTAAAACCTCTCCTGATCCTTCAAAAGCCAGCGAAGGTCTGTTGAGACTGACTAGCTTTTATACCAAATGATCAAAGAGGTCCCCCAATAATTAAATTACAGTTGTAAACAGTGTTCCCTCTAAGCTGAGTTAGTGTGAGCTAGCTCACAGTTTTTTAGCCTCTGGCTCACACATTTTTGTCTTAGCTCAGGAAGGATGGCTCCAGAGCAAACTAATTTATGCAGTAGTCAAATCGCTTGCTCACAACTTTAATGCCAGTAGCTCACAAAGTAGAATTTTTGCTCACAAGACTCCACAGCTTAGAGGGAACATTGGTTGTAAATTAACAGTTTGAAGTTTAGAGGAGATTGCTTCCTTGCGTCTCACACAACAAAAGTTACATTTTTATATACAGGATCAGTACAGTGTCACTGTTTTTTCCTCGTGTTCCCAACATGAGAGATAAACTATTTTTTGATGTTATCTCTGAGATGGAAGTGGGGTGTGTGAATCTCTGGGGAATTTCACATTACCCAGTTTCTCCCAGTTTCAAGCCGGTATTCTTCCGTTTTGAGGTGAACCGGTA